AACAACTTGAGACTGGGTAATTTATAAAGAAAAGAGGTTTTATTGGCTCATGGTTGCAGGCTTTATACAAAGCATAGTGCTGGCATATTCTGGTCTTCTGGTGAAGAGTCTGGGAGCTTTCAATCATGACAGATGGTGAAATGGGAGCAGGTACTTCATAGGGCAAACATAGGAGGCAGGAAGAGATAGAGTTGGGAAAAGGTACGACACACTTTCAAATGACCAGATTTCACACGAACTCACCAACACAAAACAGCATCAAGCCATGAGGGATCCACTCCTGTGATCCAAGAACCTATCACTATGCCTCTCCTCCACTATTTGGGATTACAAGTCAAAATAAGATTTTGGTGGGGACAAATATTCAAACTATATCAGTCATGTTTGTCATTTCTAATTGTGTTTATTTAGTTTTTTTCTTTTTAAAATTAGTCTAGCTAGCAGTCTATTTATTTTATTTATTCTTTTAAGGAATAAACTTTTAGTTTTGTTGATCTTTCATATGGATTTTTGCATCTCAGTGTCAGTCAGTTCAGCTCTGACTGTGGTTATTTATTTTTTTTTTCTGCTACCTTTGGGATTTATTTGCTCTTGTTTTTCTAGTTTGTCCAGACGTAATGTTAAGTTGTTAATGTAAGATCTTTCTAATTTTTGATGAAAGTGTTTGATGCTATAAACTCTCCTCTTCATACTGTTTTAGCTGTGTCCCAGAGATATTGGTATGTTGTATCCTGGTTTTCTTTAGTTTAAAATAATTTTTTGATTTTTGCCTTAATTTTATTATTTACTCAAAAGTAACTCTGTAACAGATTGTTTAATTTCCTTGTAATTATATGGTTTTGAGAGATATTTTTGGTATTGATTTCTGTAATTAATGTGCCATGATCCAATACTGTGGTTGTTATAATTTCTGGAGTGTTTTGTATTTTTTAAATATTTCTTTCTCTCTGAGCATGTGGTCAACTTTAGAGTATGTGCCGTGTGCAGAGGAGAAGAATGTGTATTCTGTTGTTACTGAGTTCAATGCTCTGCAGATACCTGCTTGGTTTATTTGGTCAAGTGTTGAGTTTAGTTTTCACATATCTTTGTTAGCTTTCTGACTCAATGATCTGTCTAATGTGTCTGTGAGATGTTGAAGTCTCCAATTATTATTGTTTGATTATCTAAGTCTTTTCATAAATCTCTAAGAACTTGTTTTATAGAACTATGTGCTTCAATGTTGAGTGCATATATATTTAGGATTGTTAATCTTCTTGTTAAAATAACTCCCCTGCCCTGTTTTATTTATTTATTTATTTATTTTTATTTATTTATTTTTTTTTGAGGCAGAGTCTCACTTTCTCACCCAGTCTGGAGAGCAGTGGTACAATCAGGGTTCACTATAACCTCAACCTCTTGGACTCAAATGATCCTCCCAACTCAGCCACCCAGATGCACTCTTTATCATTATGCAATGCCCTTCATGTTCTTTTTGATCATTGCTGGCTTAATGTCTGTTTTGTCTAAAATAAGAATAGCTCTATTTTGTTTTCCACTTGCTTGATAGATCTTTCTTTATCCCTTTATTTTGATCTCATGGTTCACATTGTATGTGAAATGTGTCTGTTGAACACAATAATTAAATGGTTCTTGTTTTTTATCCAACTTGCCATTCTGTGCCTTTTAAGTATGGATTTAGCCTGTTTACCTTCAAGGTTGTAAATGACAGGATATGGAAGGACTTGATCCTGTCATTGTGTTGGTAGTTGGTGGTTTTGTAGACATTATTGCATAGTTGTTTCATAGTGTCAATAGGCTATGCATTTAAGTATTTTTTGTGGTCTTGTTTTCATGTTTAGTTTATTATTATTATTCTTTAAGCTCTCGGGTACATGTGCAGATCTTGCAGGATTTTATACAGGTTTTAACACATGCCATAGTGGTGTGCTGACTGCATCCCCCTATCACCTCCATTTGGTATTTCTCCTAATATTATCTCTCCACAATCCCTCCACCCTCTGCTATCCCTCCTCCAGCCCCCAGACCCCAACAGAGCCCAGAGTGTGATGTTCCCCTCCCTGTGTCCATGTGTTCTTATTGTTCAACACCCACTTATGAGTGAGACCATGCAGTGTTTGGTTTTCTGTTCTTACGTCAGTTTGCTGAGAATGATGGTTTCCAGGTTCATCCGTGTCTCTGCAAAGGACATGAACTTATCCTTTTTATGGCTTCATAGTATTCCATGGTGTGTATGTACCAAGTTTTCTTTATCCAGTCTATCATTGTTGGGCATTCAGGTTGATTACAAGACTTTGCTATTGTAAACAGTGCTGCAGTGAACATACATGTGCCTGTGTCTTCATAATAGAATGATTAATAATCCTTTAGATATATACCCAGTAATAGGATGGCTGGGTCAAATGGTATTTCTATTTCTAGATGCTTCAGGAATTGCCACACTATCATCCACAATGGTTGAACTAATTTATACTCCCACCAAGAATGTAATAACATTCTACTTCTCCCCATCCTCTCCAGCATCTGTTGTCTCCAGATTTGTTAATCATCCTCATTCTACCTGGCATGAGATGGTAACTTAATGTGGTTTTAATTTGCACTTCTCTAAAGACCATTGATGACGAGCATTTTTTTTCTGTATATTTCTTGGCCACATAAATGTCTTCTTTTGAAAAGTGTCTGTTCATTTCCTTCAGTCAAGATTGCAAAAATTTTTTCCCAGGTTGCCATTCACTGTACTGATAGTTTCTTTTGCTGTGCAAAACTCTTAAGTTAAATTAGACACATTTATCTATTTTGGCTTTTGTTGCCACTGTTTTTGATGTTTTAGTCATGAATTTCTTGCCTATGCCTATATCCTGAATGGTATGGCATAGGTCTTCTTCTAGGGTTTTCATGGTGTTAGGTCTTATGTTTAGATCTTTAATCCATCTGGAGTTAATTTTTGTATAAGGTGTAAAGAAGGCATCCAGTTTCAGCATTCTGCACATGGCCAGCCAGTTTTCCCAACCCCATTTATTAAACAGGGAATTCTTTCCCCATTTCTTGTTTTTGTCAGGTTTGTCAAAGATTAATGTTTTTAGATATGTGGCATTACTTCCAAGGCCTGTGTTCTGTTCCACTGGTCTATATCTCTATTTTGGTGTCAATACCATGCTGTTTTCTTACTGTAGCCTTGTAGTATAGGTAGCATGTACCTCCAGGTGGTTTTTCCCAGTCTGTGAAGAAGGCCAATGGTAGCTTAATGGGGATAGCATTGAATCTATAAACTACTTTGGGTTGTATGGCCATTTTCATGATATTGATTCTTCCTAACCATGAGCATGGGATGTTTTTCCATCTGTTTGCCTCCTCTCTTATTTCCTGGAGCAGTGGTTTGTCCTTGAAGAGTTCCTTCACATCCTTTTGTAGTTGTATTCCTTAGTATTTTATTCTCTTTGTAGCAATTGTGAATGGGAGTTTGCTCATGATTTGGCTCTCTGCTTTTCCATTACTGGTGTATAGGAATGCCTGTGATTTTTGCACATGAATTTTGTATCCTGAGACTTTGCTGAAGTTGCTTACTATCTTAAGGAGATATTGGGCTGAGACGATGGGGTCTTCCAAATGTAAAATCATGTCATCAGCAAATAGAGATAATTTGACTTCCCCTTTTCCTAACTGAATACGCTTCACTGCTTTTTCTTGCCTTATTGCTCTGGTTAGAACTTCCAATACTATGCTGAATAGGAATGGTGAGAGAGGACACTCTTGTCTAGTTCCAGTTTTCAAAGGGAATGTTTTCAGTTTTGCCCATTCAGTATGATATTGGCTGTGGGTTCGTCATAAATAGCTTTTATTCTTTCAAGATATGTTCCATAAATACCTACTTTATTGAAAGTTTGTAGCATAAAGGGCTGTTGAATTTTGTCAAAGGCCTTCTCTGCATCTATTGAGATAATCATGTAATTTTTGTCTTTGGTTCTGTTTATGTGATGGATTACATTTATACATTTGTGTATGTTGAATCAGCCTTGGATCCCTAGGATGAAGCCTACTTGATTGTGATGGATAAGCTTCTTGATGGGCTGTTGCATTCAGTTTGGCATGATTTTATTTAAGATTTTTGCATTTATGCTCATCATGGATATTGGCCTGAAATTGTCTTTTTTGTGTCTCTGCCAGGTTTTGGTATCTGATATTGGTTTCATAAAATGAGTTAGGGAGAATTCTCTCTTTTTATATTGTTTGAAATAGTTTCAAAAAGAATGGTAGCAGCTCCTCATTATACATCTGGTAAAATTTGGTTGTGAAACCATCTGGATCTGGACTTTTTTTGGTTGGTTGACTATTAATTGCTGCTTCAACTTCAGCCCTTATTATTGGTCTATTGAGGGAATCAACCTCTTCTTGGTTTAGTCTAGGGAGGGTGTGAGTGTCCAGAAATTTATTATTTCTTCTAGATTTACTGGTTTATTGCATAGAGTTGTTGATAGTAAACTCCGATGGTAGTGTGTATTTCTGTGAAATTGGTGGTGATATTCCCTTTATCGTTTATATTACATCTATTCAATTCTTCTCTCTTTTCTTTTTTATTAGTCTGGCTAGTGGTCTACCTATTTTGTTGATCTTTTCAAAAAACAAGGCCCTGGATTTATTGATTTTTTGAAGTTTTTTTTTTTGTTTCTCTGTCTCCTTCAGTTCTGTTCTGATCTTGGTTATTTGTTGCCTTTTTCTTGTAAGGCCATTGCCTTGCCAGGAGCCAAATGGACACATTCATCACTCTCTATGACTGATAACTGCGTTATCACCCCAGCTCATTATCTGGCTTTCCCACAAAGCTTCCCCGCACCCGCCTCTGTATACCATGCCCAAGCCCACATTCAGCACTAAATTATGCATCCAAACTACAGCCCACTGTTAAAAAACCCTGCAGAGAAAATTTTTTAAAGAAGCCCCACCATTCCCTGCCCAGCAACAGCCTGCCCCATATGCCCCTGGCAGGCCTGCATACGCAAGGTCCTTCCCGCCTACCAATGGCAGCTAGTTTCATGTACTTCCTGCTTTAACTCCATGTACTTCCTGCTCCTCAACAGCCAATAGAAATGCCTTCTCTTTGTTTCCCTAGTAGTCAGTCAAGGCCCGCATACCCAAGGTCCTGCCTGCCTACCAATGGCAGCTAGTTTTAGGTACTTCCTACTTTAATTCTATGTACTTCCTACTCCTCAACAGCCAATAGAATTGCCTTCTCTTTGTTTCCCCAGTAACCAGTCAATTGCCTGCAATCCCCATAAACTCCATGCCCTGAACAGCCAGGTGCGACTTCTCTGGCCCCCACTTGGGCCACTGAAGCTTGCCCAGGAGCTGAATAAATTGGCTTCTCACTTTTTTATACTTGCCTCAGTTTCCTCATTTTACCTTGGCAATAAATCTTACATTTATTGGTGCTGAAACCAGGGACGAGTTGTGAGACCTCCCCTCCTGGGGAGGGAAACTGACTCCTCCACTCGAGGCCGGACCAGGAGCTGCTCCACCACGAGGTAAGACTTCTGTTGCCCATAACTTTTCCCACTGCCTGCTCTCTGGACTTCCTGCTCATAATCGTGGCCGTGTTGGGGACTCCTTCTCATTACTCACAGTGGGCCTAGGGCCCCGGCCTTGTTCCAAGGACCTGAGTGTAGTGGAGACGTCCCTACACTTTTGTCTTCTCCCTGTAAGGGGTCTCTCAGAACCAGGAATCTGAGGGAGATGTCCCCACCTTCCTGAACCCTCTTGTAATCTCCGGTGTTCAGGGGGATGACCCAGGACGCTGAGCTGCCCTTCTGATCATCTCCGCAGCAGCCGCTAAGGTTTGGGTAATAAGAAGCCCTGTTCACAAGCCTGGGCTCTGCCCAGGACTGAAACAGACCTCTGGCTCTTAATCACAAACTTGCCTTTTGGCAGGTCAGCTCCTGCTTAGGCACTTTTAGTCTCTCTCTCTCTCTCTCTCTCTGGCACTTTTAGTCTCTCTCTCTCTGTCTCTCTCTCTCTCTCTCTTCCTGAGCAAGTGTGTGAGTGAGTCTATGTGTAGTCCCACAGCTTAACAGCTACAGGGCTTGTGTAGGCCTCCACCTGTGGTTGCAGAAGGACATCATAAGGCACAACAGTGATTCACCTCAGGACCAACCTACTTCCCTTGAGGTACTGGATATTCTACAGTGGGTAACAGACCACTTGCTTCAGGGGACCTTCATTGAGTTCCTGCCTCTACAAATAACTCTGTGCTCCTTTTTCCTTCTATTCTTCTTCTACCACTGAAACCCCACTTCCCACTTCCACTAGTTTCACTTCCTGTAACTCTACCATGTGGCAAATAGCTCTAGCCCTATCCCTTTTTATTTTCTTCCTCATTGTTATCATTGCCGCCTGTAAGTTCTCTCAGCCTTTCCCTCCAGGAAAGGAGCTTTTCTGCCCGTGTTGGGTATAATTGCTTTTCCTGTCCACTTCTTGCCCTTAAGCAACAGAAGAAGATAAAATATGGGTAATCAGAACTCCCGCCCAAGCTCCAAGTCACCACTAGGATGCCTGGTCCAAAATCTACCTAAATTGAGTCTTTCTATAAAAAGGAAAAGGTTACTCTTCCTCTCCTCTGTGGCCTGGCCACAGTATCCTCTAGACAACCAGTCCAAGTGGCCTCTTGGGGGCACCCTTGACTTTAATGTTCTAACAGATTTAGACAACTTCTGCCGAGGAAATGACAAGTGGGTGGAGGTTCCCTATATTCAGGCTTTCTGGCACCTGTGTTCCCACCCCAGCCTCTGCTCATCCTGCAGTATTTCCCAAGTACTCCTGGTAAAAAGCATCCCCCCACTGCCCTCAGCCCCTTCACCGACCTCCTCCTCTTCTTTTTCTGACCCCAATCTGCCTGAAGAACTCTCCTTACCCCAGACTCGATCCACTAATCCCTCGCCATACGTGGACCCTCAACCTCCTCCTCCTCCTCTTCCAAGTTCAGATGTGGACTCTCCTGTTAGTGCTCACACTTGCTCACACAGCACTCCCAGTGACAAAAACTCCCTCCTTTGTTCTCTATGTGAGGTGGCCAGAGCAGAGGGTGTTGTCCAAGTTCCCTTCTCCCTTACTGATCTGTCCACCATTGGGAAGTGCTTAGGGTCATTCTCTGCCAACCCTACTGCTTACATTAAGGAATTTTGTTATCTCACTCAGGCATATGGCTTAACCTGGTGTGACACTTATGTAATCCTGTTCTCTATCCTTACTCCTGATGAGCGTAACCGCATCCTTATGGCAGCCAGGGCACACGCTGATTAAGTACATCTCACTAATGATCAGATGCCAGTAGTCGCAGTGGCGGTCCCTGAGGCCAATCCTAACTGGGACTATCAAACTGGCCAAAATGGCCACTGCTGCCAAGACCAAATGCTACAGTGCCTCCTAGTGGGCATGCAGGACGCAGCCCAAAAAGTAGTTAATGATGATAAACTGCAGGAACTAACTCAGGATCCTACTGAGAATCCAGCTGCCTTCCCAGACCGGCTAACTACCACTATGGTTCTTCATACCCAAGTAGGTCCAGACTCTTTAACTGGGGCTACCCTCCTAGTGTCCCATTTTATTTCCCAGTCAGCACAAGATATTAGAAAAAAACTAAAGAAGGTAGAGGAGGCCCCCCAAACTCCCATACGAGACCTGGTAAACATGGCATTTAAAGTTTTTAATGGTCAAGAGGAAAAGGCTGAGGCTGCCCGCCAAGCCCAGCTACAGCAATAGGTGAGCCTCCAAACCCAAGCTCTTGTAGCGGCTCTGAGGCCGGCAACTCACCAAGCATCTGGTGTAAGGGGCCTATCAAAGCCCCTTCAAAAGGGTCCCTCAGAACCCTCTGTACCCACCCAGACTGCTTCAAAGGTCCTGCCCAGGCCCTGTTTCAAATGAGGCCAGGAAGGACACTGGGCCTGACAGTGCCCCTGTCTGTGTCCAGCCCCTGGACCCTGTCCTACTTGCAAACAGACTGGAAACTGGAAGGTAGTCTGCCCATCCCGGACTACAGGCTTACCCCCCACACCTCCATGTGAGGGGCAGGCCGGTCCAAAGGATTCAGTCCTTTTGTTTGAACTCCTTGACCTCCTGGAAGACTGATGTGGCCTGGACTCAGAGACCTCTATCACCCTTGCCGAGCCCAGAAAAACACTACAGGGAGTGGGTAAGTCCATTTCCTTTTTAGTGGAAATGGGGGCTACCTATTCTGTATTGCCTTTCTATTCAGGACCTAGCACACCTTCCCAGGTGTCAGTAAAGGAAATTGATGAAAAGCCCTCCTACCTCAACCAGACTCCTCCCTTAGCCTGTAACCTTGAGGGGCACCCATTCTCTCACTCTTTCCTAATCATGCCTTCATGTCCAGTTTCCCTACTAGGGTGGGACATCCTCCAAACTCTAGGGGCCACCCTCCAACTCACTGGCCCCTCATAGCCAACCTCATCCTCCACCCATCTTCTAATACTAAGATACTAGCCTTCTAATACATCTTCTAATACTTCTAATACTAACCCTAACTGGCAACCCACCTAGTCATAACCCTTCCCCTCAATCCCCTATCCCTCCTGAGATAGTTAACCCCTCAGTATAGGATATCTCCAAGCCTGTAGTGATCACACATCACACACCAGTTAAAATCACTCGACTTTTGGCCAGGGACTCCTTATCCCCACCAGTTCCCCTTGTAATACTCCTATCTTACAGCCATCCATCAATTTCCACCTAATTCAAGACCTCCATCTAATCAATGAGGCAGTAGTACCTCTCCACTCAGTAGTCCCCAACCCTTACACCCTACTATCCAATATTCCTTCCACTACCTCTCATTTTACAGTTCTGGACCTCAAAGATTCCTTCTTTACTATTCTCCTTCACTCAGAGTCTTACTTTCTCTTTGCCTTCACCTAAACCAATAAGGTATCAACATGTTAAATTTAGCCAAATACACGAATTTCACCAACTGCTTTTTATGTGCCTCCCTCAACAAACCCCCCTTTGCTGCAGTTCCCCTCCAGACCGGGTTCAACTTGTCACAATCACCTACAGGACAGCCCAACCCCCCATTAACAGACATCCCTCTGTTTAAGGTACACTCTCAAAGTCTCTTTCTCTGCTATGGGACCATCAATAACTCCAACTGCAATATTACGGTAAAGGTAACCTCCACCCTCTATGCACCTCCGGGGGGTACTTTTGGTGCAATGCAACTCTAACCAAAGTTATAGATACTTCTCTTCCCTTCCCTTGTGTGCCAGCCACCTTAGTCCCACAGTTAGAAGTATATGGACAAGCTGAATTCCTATCCCTGGTCATTCCATCCCCAAACCACTGGAGTAAACAAACAGTCTTCCTCCCACTAGTGGTTCGCCTCTCTTTAGCCTCTTCTCTAGAAGCAGCTGGAATAGGGAGTGGTGCCCTGGGCTACAGTGTCACTTCAGCAGCACAACTAGAGAACAAACTCCGGGTGGCCATTGAGGCATCAGCTGCCTCTCTGGCATCCCTCCAGCGACAAATCACATCACTAGCTAAGGTAACTCTCCAAAATCAACACGCCCTAGATCTCTTAACAGCAGAAAAAGGAGGTACCTGCTTGTTTCTCTAAGAACAATGTTGTTATTGCGTTAATGAAACCGGTCTAGTGGGAGGAAATGTCAACACTCTCTATTGTCTTCAAGAAGACCTCCAAAGAAAACAAAGTGCACCAGCCTCTTCTCTTAACTGGTGGCAATCCCCTATACTTACCTGGCCAACCCCTATCATCACTCCCATTATTGTAATTTGTCTTTTGCTTAATGTTAGCCCCTTTCTTTTTCAGGTTTTTACAAACTCACATAAAGAAAATACCGAGGGTAGTTGTAAATCAAATGCTGCTTCACCCCTCCATTCGACTCACAATCGAGACACCAGCCAACTGACCCCCCACTCTGCCCCTGTTCAGCAGGAAGTAGTCAGAGAGAAGCAGCATCCTATATCATCAAAAAGGTTGGAATGTAAGGCCGGTTGCCTTGCCGGAGGCAAACGAACACATTCATCACTATCCGTGCCTGATAACTGCGTCATCACCCCAGGTCATGATCTGGCTTCCCCACAAAGCTTCCTTTCACTCGCCTCTGTATACCATGCCTAAGCCCACATTCAGCACTAAATTATGCATCCAAACTCCAGCCCACTGTTAAAAAACACTGCAGAGAAATTTTTTTAAAGAATCCCCACCATTCCCTGCCCAGTAACAGCCTACCCCACACGCCCCTGGCAGGCCCATGTACCTAAGGTCCCACCCACCTACAAATGGCAGCTAGTTTTATGTACTTCCTACTTTAACTCCATGTACTTCCTGCTCCTCAACAACCAATAGAAATGCCTTCTCTTTGTTTCCCCAGTAGTCAATCAAGGCCCACTTATCCAAAGTCCTGCCTACCAACCAATGGCAGCTAGTTTCATGTACTTCCTACTTTAACTCCATGTACTTCCTACTCCTCAACAGCCAATAGAAATGCCTTCTCTT